CGAATATTGTTACATTTCATGTTTTCCCAAAGCTCCCTTAAACGGTCTTCCTGCTTTTTAATTTTTTTTCTAATTGCTACTCTGATTGGGTGTTATTTTCTACCTTGTCTCCAAATTCACTGATTCGGTCCTCAGCTTCATCTAATCTACTGTTGATTCATTCCAGTGTATTCTTTATTTCAGCTATGTCATTTCTCATTTCCAATTTATTCTTATTCAAGCTTATGAAGTTCTCATTAAGTTGCATGTAATTTTCACTAAGTTGCTTGAGCATCCTTATAACCATTATTTTGAACTCTATATCTGATAAATTGCTTGCCTCTATTTCATCTAATTCTTTTTCTGGTGATTTTTCCTTTTCTTTCATTTGGGTGTTGTTTCTTTGTCTCCCCATTTTATTGTGCTGGTTGTCCAGGGTACCAGGTCAAGGCTGCAGAGTGTGAACAGGACCTCGTTTCTGGTCGTCCTGGGGCACCGGGTCTGGGAGCCAGGTCCTGATGGCAGGCCTGTGTGTCTGAGAGACCTTGGATCAAGATGGCAGGGCCAGGTGCACTAAGTCAAGGCTGTAGGCCAGGTTGGAAGGCAGGCTGGTCATGCTACATCAAGGAGTCAGGAAGGCAGGCAGGCAGACCTGGTGGGCTGTGTCAAGGAGACACAGTAGCAGGCAAGCAGGCAGGTTGGCAGGCCGTGCATGCTGCATCACGGATGTGCCACTGGTGGTAGGGGTCAGCAGGCCGGTCATGTGACCCCATCAAGGAGGCGGTCAGACAGGCAGGCAGTGCACACCCTGTTAAGGAAGCAGGCAGGTAAGCTGTGTGCCAGATCACTGAGGTGATACATTTGTCCCCAGGCACTAGTTCAGGCCCACCAGGTCACAGCATCAGGCCTGTGCGATAGCATATCTTCAGCCTTGGTGTCTGTGCTCTGGTCTCTGGTTTGGGGACACTGGGTTGGGGCTGCTCCCCACAACCTCCTCCTAAGGAGGACCGTGAGGATTCTCCAAAATGCATGCTCTCCACTCCCAATCAGAGAGAAGTTCCTGGCTGAGCAATGTGGCCACAGTGGCACCTCTTCCTGAACCCCCGGGGAGCTCCCACACTGACTGACAGATGCCCCCCCTCCCACACCTATGCACACACTCCCTCATGCACACCCAGTCTCATTCTCAGCTTTGGTCAGGTCCTCTCCACCACCCTTTTGGAAGTCCTATTTAGATTAACTTTCATTTTGTTGTTTCAGTATGAATTACACCATAAAACTTTGTTATGGCTGTGTACGTGACAAGAAGTATATAATTATACATTTTATAATTATCAGTTATAAGTTTTTATAAGTAATTATAAGTTTTACTTCTTTTGTTATTTTTCAATGACCTTTAACACACATATCTCATGTTAGGAGTTGAATACAATCTCTGATGGTTTTCTACTCAAGAATATAACATATCTCTTAACTATCAGCCACAATAAGAAAGAGATTAAATAAATACTGAATATTCAAAGCTATTTGAACAAATCAAGACTATGTATTCTTCCCATTCAGAACAATTACAGTTTGTTAATATACAGTTATCAGTGACATTATCACATTTTTAAAAAGCTATATATTGTTTTGCAAAATCATAACTGAGTTAAAACAAAAACAGGATCTCTAGTGGTAGGGAAAAGTTCAGAATTATGACTAAAATAAAAGTAGCTAAGTCCGGCCGGGCGTGGCTCAGCATTTAAGCATTGACCTATGATCCAGGAGATTGTGGTTTGATTCCTGGTCAGGGCATATGCCCAGGATGCGGGCTAGATCCCCAGTTGGGGGCATGCAGGCGGCAGTGGATCAATGACTCTATCATCATTGATGTTTCTATCTCTCTCTCCCTCCCCCTTCCTCTCTCTGAAATCAGTAAAGATATACTAAAAAAATAAAAATAAAATAAAAGCTAAAATGTGGGGTAAAATATGTTCAATGTAAATTTATTTGCACAATTAAGTAGAAGCTTATTGACATAAGGAAACCCATCTTGACTTTTTCTGAATTCCTGAATAATACAGTAGATTTTAAACTACAGTACTGCATGGTGTATGATGTGGGTTTGGTGACCAGCTCCTTCCTCTCCCTTTAGCCGTCATTTTCCTCTTAGCACAATATTATTCATTATTGGGATCTCAGACTCTTCTCTAAGATTTCATTCCAGTCTTTTAGTCTGATAAACCAGCCGGAGGACCCTCAAAGTGACAGAACAGTTAAGTACAAGTTTCTTCTCATTGCCATTACTTGAAACAAACCAGTATTACTTTCTCAAAGTTGTTATGCTTTTAAGAATTTTCAGTGTGCTTTATTTAAGAAGGCGTGAAAAAAGAGTTTTCTCTTTCAACAAACCCATTCCATATTTTATGTGAGTACTTTAAAATTCTTCCTTTTTCTAATTTTTTTCTTTTCTAAAGTTAAAAAGTTTTCTTTGTTGAGGTATATACCACTCCATTCTTTTGTTTTAATTATTAACTGCAGTATATAAACTTAACAAATCGTTAGTCAATTGTGTATCTCCGAATAGCACAGAATTCTGACAGACTGGTTTTGCCAGCTACAGTATGGGTTGTGTGTCTTGTTGGGGAATGTTTGGGGCATTCTCACAATGAGGTGGAGCCAAAGTGATGTCTACTGGTAACTACATAACTAGAAACAATGAACACATATAATATAAAACCTGCTTACTGATTTCTAGTAATCTAATTTTTAATTTTCCTTTCAGGCTTACTGCAGCCTCAGATGATTTTCATTTGTGTAGCAATTTTATATATGAGATCATTTTGACCTTTACTATCTTATTTGATCTTCACCAAACCTGGTGAAATAAAAATGGCCACTGGGATAGCCTTCACTGACAGAATAAGCTACCCCCAAGAAGACTAGGGGACTTGCCACAGTCACATATGTAGAGAGGCCAGGTATTGAGCCCAGACTTCCAGTTCTCTCTTCCCTGTCACATGCGCACTGTATCTCCACAGAGCTTTCAGAAACACCACTGTTCTTTCAGTCCCCATATGTTTGTTTATTTTTAAATACGTTTTTATTGATCTTAGATAGGAAGGGAGAGGGAGAGAGAGAGAAACATCAATGTGAGAGAAGCATCGATCAGCTGCCTCCTGCATGCACTTGACAAGAGATGGAGCCCACAACCTGGGCATATGCCCTGTCCAGGAATCGAAATGGCGACCTTCTGGTCCATGGGACAACATTTAGCCAACTGAGTCACGCAACCTGGACACCCGTGTGTATGTTTTTGAAATCTGCATAAATCGTGAGAACAGCATTGTTGGGACCAATCATGATCTGCTAGGTGAATGGAAAAGGGGATTGCTAAAGTGGTACTATTTGTACCACTCCATAGTGTATAAACATGCATTAGAGTATATTTTTAAAACATTTGCAAAATAAATATTTGATAACCTGTATAACTGTGCTTTTCTATTTTTGAAGCCCTAGTTCAGTTATCTTTATGTGAATACTTATCCTGTGACCTTGGATGCTTGCACTATTAATTTTAAAATAGGAAAAGGGTTTAGGTAAAAGTATATAGGCTGTGTAGCATTAATCTAGGTCACTTTACTTGCAATTATGAAGGCTTTTTTGCATTTTTACATATTTCCAGTTACAAAGACTTATTAACACAGAAAAAATTATAAAAATCTTTAATTTCAAAATGCTTTGACTAACTTTATGAAATATGTGTATATAAGATCAGTCATTTTATAATTTGTCATTGCTTGGAAAGTGTATTACTTTTTGTGTGTGTGATCCACATCTACTTAGTAGTCTGAGTAGTATTCTCATTGAACTTCTCTATTAAGGAGTCATTTTTAATAAAATTTTTATTTATTTTCTTTTTAGCTTTATTGGGGTATAATTTACAAATAAAATGGTAAGATATTTAAAGTGCACATTGTGATGATTTGATATATGTATACATTGTGAATCCCCCCTACTTAACTAACATATTCTGTCACCTCACATATTTTATCTCTTTTTGTGAGAACATTTAAGACCTACTTTCTTAGAAAGAACTCTCTCTTTTATACTATATAGTGTTATCAACTGTAGTCACCATGTTTTACATTAGTTCCTCCGTTCTTATTCATCTTATATAATTATATATGTTTTAGAGTCAGTTTATGATACGACAGTTTGTAAGCTGACCACTCTCAAAACCTTTTATCTATAAACAGTTGTGAATTGGCTTCCTAGTGTGTGCGATTCACCGTGCTTGGCCCTGCCTAAGTGGGAGAAGAGGAAGGGTGATTATTTTGCTTACTTTTAGTTTTACAAAATGTTTAGCAAACAGTCCCATCAAATTTATAAATTACATAGCTATTTTACGAAGTGTTTTTCTGACCCAGTTTTAGATTTTACATTATTTCAGGTGACAAATATAGGTACCTCTGATTTTGAAGTTTTCTGCAAATATAAATATTTCTAAATTTCAAAGAATACTTTCTATTTTGAATTCAGTTTTATACCTTTCTGAGGTGTACTGATTAACAATATTTCCATCACCAATCTGAAGATGAAGAAAGGGAGGAATGATGATCCCCCTCGTCCCCCCACCCCCAGGCTACCAATCTGTTTCTGACAGACTAAAGTAGAAGCCAAAAATATCTCTTTTGGCCCAGCCGGGCGTGGCTCAGCGGTTGAGCATCGACCTAGGATCCAGGCGATCAGGGTTCGATTACCGGTCAGGGCACATGCCCAGGTTGCGGGCTGCAGCCGATCAATGACTCTCTCATCATTGATGTTTCTATCCCTCTCTCTCCCTCTCCTTTCCTCTCTCTGAAGTCAATAAAGACATATTAAAAAAAAAAATTTCTTTTTCATTAAGTATTAATCATGTTTCCATTGTTTAAAAAGTCACAACTAACTCTTCCTTCTAAGTAGAAAAGAAAAAAAAGAAAGACTATGAAAAAAGGAGTTTACTTTAGAGTAAATTTAAATATATTTCTCTTTCTTAGGAGAGAGTTATGTGTGTGGCTCAATAGAGCCCTTCAAGAAACTGGAATACACCAAGAATGTGAACCCCAACTGGTCTGTGAATGTGAAGACCACCTCAGCATCCCGGGCAGTGTCATCACTGGCTACTGCCAAAGGGAGCCCTTTGGAGGTGCGGGAGAATAAGGATTTCATTCGGCCCAAACTTGTCACCATCATCAGAAGTGGGGTGAAGCCACGGAAAGCTGTCCGGATTCTGCTGAACAAGAAAACCGCTCATTCCTTTGAGCAGGTTCTCACTGATATAACTGACGCCATCAAGCTGGACTCGGGAGTGGTGAAACGCTTGTACACTCTGGATGGGAAACAGGTAAGAGAAGTGATGTGACCTTAACTTTATAGGCAAGAACCAGGGAAGTGGGGAATTTATGTGGCATGTGGTGGGAATCTGAAACATACATTTCCTGACTTTTAAAGAGCTGAGTAATTTAGTCAACAAATACATAGGTGTTGGCCTCAAACCAGTCCAAGAATAGTGTTAGACAGGATTAACCATAGGAATAAAGTAAAAATGCCCATCTTTGCAGCTTAAATAATTATCCAGAGATTTCTGCTTTTTCAGTTATTAATTGCTTAACATATGGTGCTTTTTAGCCATCTGTTTTTAATTTTGTCATATACTAATGTCTTATAGCCTTGAACATGTCTGAGATTTAGAGGTAAACTGACCAATAGAGAAAAATCTAAATCCTTTCTTTGGCTTAAATCTTTTATAAAATTTACTGTCTCAGTAATGTTTACTAGTGAGATTTATTTAAATTTTATAGATTTTAAGTACGTATCTAAGGAATAAAGTATTTCCATCTGGATGGAATATTTCTAGAATATTATAACCTTATTTTGAAAATATAATTTCAGAATTAAAATGAAGGGAGTCTCTTCAGCTATGGAATATACATCAATTGACTTGTATGACTGGATATTTTAATGTGAAGTGCTCAGATGAATTTAAAGGAAGTCTTATGTGAACTTTTGCAAAAGCTTGACCGAACCTTGATGTGCACTGAATAAAAAAATACAAATATATGTACAGTGAGATTCTCTAGTCTTTGAGAGTTTATCAATATTTTTTTGTTTAAGATCATAAGTTTTAACATACTATCTTTGCTTGAAATTTAGTTTTTAATGTGGATCTATCCAAATGCTTTTTAAAAATTATTTTGAGGGATAATCGGAATAATTTGTACATACAGTACATATTAAAAATCAAATCTAGATTCATAAATTAAAAGGTTGATTTTATTAAATAGAATAATGTAAGTTCTTGAAGGCTAACACATTCAAACTATGAATTAGAAAGAGATACAAATACTAGAAAGAATGTTAGTTGTGAAAGAATTCTTCCCCTGGGGATCTATTCAAATGTCTAAGTTATAAACTTGATTAGGAAAGAAGGAATATCTGCGAGTTGTTTGTTTATATTCACCAATCTTCTGCTTGTCTCATAAAACTTCTCCCAAGTGTCATGTGGATAAGGATTCTATAGAATGAAACTCTTGGTTTTCTCGATCTAGGACAGTCATAGCCTGAATGTCACCAATATATCAGTGATCAAAAAGTCCACTGCTGGATTGTCAGTTATAGCAACAATAAGATGGTCAGGTTTGCATTTAAACATTTAAGCCCTTCAGAGGTTCCTTCTGTAATGAGTGACACAACCATTTCGTAGTTCTGCATCTTCGTGTATTGAGTTTCTCAAGATGGGAGTTACCTGTTCTCATAAAAGTAAAATTTACAACGAAGAATACATGTTGGTAAATCCTCTTCCTTCCCATTCACCTCAGAGTTTTGTAGGCTCCAAAATGCTACACACTGAATTTAAAAGTCAGCTTTAGCTATTTTAGTAAACTTTGTCATTAACTGATCACTTGTGTATTCTAAAAATGAGTTTCTAGAATAAGTACTTTGATGTTCTTAATTGTTTTCTTCTTTTTAGAAATTTATGTAGTGTCTGTATTTTATAATGGCTGATTTTTCTGTGGTTTACATTTAATAACCCAATGTAATGAGAAAAAAAAAGTCAAGGTTTAATATCAAAAGACCAAGATTCAAATCTCTATTCAGCCACAGATTATTTATGTTTTTAACAAATTACTTAATTGATCATCATTATACACATCAGTAAAACATGGATAAAATGATCATCTCTGTTTCATAGAGTACTTGAGGGATCAACATGATAATACATATGAAAGTAATTTTTAACTATATTAATAATATGATAGCTTTCTTGAGCATTATTCTATTTTTTAATATCTTTTTATTGACTTTTAGAGAGAGAGGAAGGGAGAGGGAAAAAGAAAAACATCGAATTGAGAGAAAAACATTGATCAGTTGCCTCCTGTATACACCCTGACCAGAGACTGAACCTGCAACCTGGGCACGTGTCCTGACCGGGAATTGAACCTGCAACCTTGTGGTGCAAGGGATGACGCTCAGCCAACTGAGCCACACTGGTCAAGGCTTTAGCATTATTCTAAATGTTTTGTATGTATTATCATGATGAATCATCATAGTTTTGATTATTATCCCTATTTAACAGAACAGAATAGTAAGGTGCAGAATTTGTTAAAAAAAAATCCTAACATGTCTAAGACCACATAGATATAAATGACAGAGTTAGCATTTGAACCAGTCTCTCTCCAGAGCTTGTGCTCATAACCACTGTGCCATAAGCACCAAACAGATGTACTGAGAAGAGTTTTTAAATGAGTATTGTGTCCAAAAAATATCATCTGAAAGATGTTCTCTATGTATTTTTCTCCTGCAGTCATTCTACTGACCGTTGTATTCAACTGTTGTTTTGTTGTTGCTGAGCAGTCAGTTTGCTGTTGTGGTGTTTTCTTCATTGTGGCATGCTCTTTTCCTAGCAAGAATACTGAAAAGCTGCAGAGGAGTTGGATGATAAAGTGGAAAGGATATAAAACGTTTTGCTTAAAGGAACAAAAATGCTTCCTCATGGGCCCCAGGAATCTTTAGAATTGTTTCTGTTCAGAAGAGAAATCTGCCTCCCATGAGAGGTTTGTTAGGATTCATTGACATCCTTGCAGAGACCAAGGCCTAATAATTCTCTTAGAAGAAACCCAAGCCTTCCTGTGTCTTGAGGCTCTGCCATAGTAATGGGGGCACGTGGTGCTGCCACCATCTGACTTTGCCCACAGTGGCGTAGGGGTCCATGTGCTGTCATAGGACATCGCCCTTAAGATCGCTTATTCCACCTCTTTCTTTCTTTAATAGTGTAACTGAATCCTTGTACCAACTCTATAAACAGCATGGGAAATCCAGTGCCCAATAAAGTTTTTAAAGGTAAATTTTGGGGAGGATTGAAAATAAAATTGTTTTAAAAAAAATCAGTTGCTTGAGTGCTTTGTGTAAATGAGTAGAGAGTAAGATATACAACCTTTTCAGATTGCCTCATGCATCCTGTAGATGTGTCCACTGGATGGAAACCAGTGATGCTGGGATTCCTGGCAATGGCACCGTGGGAGCCGTGCCTGCTGATACGTATGTTACGCAGAGATGGCACCAGACCCTGTGCCATTTTCACTCCTCCCTGCTCCACTCAGCCTCTTGGGTTTGCTTTAAGCCCTAACCTAAGAGTTCATTACACAGTGCTGTTTTGAGTTTTTTCTCTGACATAAGGAATCATTGTACTGGAAATGCTGTACCACTTAGAAGGCATTTTGCAGGGAGCTGCAATTTCTGCACAGGACCCTGGTGGCTCATGAGAGGCCTATTTGTGAGCAAACTCTTTCTAATTATTTCAACTCCATTTTCTTATTCAGGCCATTGAAGCTTCAATGAAAGTTTGCCTCCTGCTTCCCCTCCCCTTCATACCTCTCAGGGGGCCTCTGCTCACCTTGTGATCAGGCACTTTTGCTAGAATGGCTGGGAGGTCAAATAAATACTTGCTGTGTCTTAATTTTAGTGGTGTAAGCTTATCTGGGTCTTGATTAAGGACCCCCAAAGAAGGAAAGAAGCCATTTTCCAGCTGTAGGTTACAATCCCATCCCCTTCCTCCACATCTGAGGGGAGGCTTTGTGAGGTGTAATAATCATTCCCTTTTGTCCCGTCCAGGCTGCGGATGTTGGGATTTTCCGTGGATTATTCACTCACCCTGCCAGACAGCTACTCCCAGAAATCATTTGGAGTGTGATTATTTTTTAAGTGATCAAAATAGCTCAAAAGTATAAGATTTGCAGCAAAGATATACTTGCATATCTCCTGACTCCTTTTTTTGGAACAGCTAATCTGGCTGTTTTGAGCTGCTAAATCTTCTAAATCTGTGATTCCTGAATCCTTGCTTAGAAATATAAACCACAGCAAGTCTTAGAACAGCTAGTGCCTAAGCAGGCAATTTATACTGTAAAGTTCATAGAAAAGGCACTTCCTAATGATCCCTCTTTCCCCACTAAAATATAGTAAGAGTTCAAAATAGTATCGAAATTGTATAGCAATTTTGATAAACTAGATTGCTCTTTAATTGGAAAATACATGCATATTCTCATCTACTCATCAACACTGAGGATCTGTGCAAAATAGTGTATTTTAGTGGAAGAGGAAGAACTCAAGGCTGATATATTTTTATCTTATAGGCATTTCATGTGTCATGTACTTTGTAAAACCCACCACTGCTAACATGCTAGAGTAAGCAAACAATCTATTGTCTTTCTGATATGGAAAACACTAGGAATCACTCAGCTGAAGTAAAGATACCCATAAACTGATTTAGATGATAAACTGTAAGAACAGGCATTATATATGCTGCCTTAGTCCATTCGGGCTGCTACAGCAAATACCACAGACTGTGTGGCTTATGTATAACAGAAACTTATTTCTCACAGTTCTGGAGGCTGGAAGTCTAATATCAAGGAGTCAGAGATTTGGCCTGGTGAGAATGCACTTCCTGGTTCATAGAAAACCACTCTTTTGCAGTGTTCTCTCATGGCAGGAGAGGCTAGGGAGCTCTGGCACATTTTTCATGAATGGGATTTTGCACTAATCCCATCCATGAGGGCTTCATCCACAAGACCTAATCATCTCTCAAAGGCCCTGTCTCCTCCTAATACAATAACCTTGGGGGTTGTGTTTCAACGTGTGAATTTTTGGAGACACAAACGTTCAAACCATAGCAGCTGCCAAGTAAAGGAAGTCCCAGTATCTGTCAATAAATTAATTAGTTACTATGTCTTCTCTGTATGTTTTGATCATTGATTCCCTTTCCCTATTATAAACATAAAGCTCAAAAGATGCTTGTAAATGAGTCATAATAATTTCAGCAGTTTATTTTATGTAACTAGTATATGAGTT